GCCCGATGCGGGACTCGATCCAGGGACTCCAGGATTATGACCTGAGCCGAAGGCAGTTGCTTAACCAACTGAGCCACCCAGGCGCCCAGAAGGTGGTTCTGTTTTTTAATAGAACATAATTAATCACTTTTTTTTAGTAAACCCTTAAGTACCTTTAATTTAGCTATGCTTTTGACATATATTTTAAAAAATGAAATGAAATGTTTATGTTTTGTAGAAAATGGCTCTCTCTACATAGTGATGGATTACTGTGAAGGAGGCGATCTGTTTAAACGAATTAATGCTCAGAAAGGCATTCTGTTTCAAGAGGATCAGGTGAGTTAGCATGTAGCAGATTGACTCTTACGCCATGTTGTTTAGAAGCAATTCAAAGTTTGTATATGTATTTATTTGTAAATACAAATTCTTAATTGTAATTACTAGGACAGTTTGGTATCATTCTAATATCTCAGTCACATTTCTGTTCTAATTAGCTTCCACCTTAGTCATTTCCCCATCTCATTTCCTGTCTGTAATAATATTATTATATTTGTAATATATGTTATATCCTTTGTGTATAAATATATTTATGTATATAGCCTAATTATTCGTTATAACTAGTTAATTATTCTATATTCTATCTTGCTTTCTGCTGCCAGGCCACATTTTCCTAAAATGTGGCTTTCCTAGGTAATTCCACTTCTGGAAGCTTTGCATTGGCAACTGCATTAAATCTAATCTCTGTTTTGACCTCAGGGATCGCTAAAATATGACCTTATCGTACCTAAGCAGTCTTATTTTTTTTCTCGTGTTACCTAATGTGCACCCCCTTTTCATTTATTTAACAGATATTCATTGAGCGTTCATTTTGTTAGGCACTGTTTCTGTTACACATGCTTATGTATCTCATTCTTCTTCCTATGTATTTATTCTATTACTTCTTTTATTTTGGGAACACTTTCCTGCCAACTCTCTTACTAATATTCTACCTTTTTTTTTTTTTTTTTTTACAGCTCAGCTCAAATCCCAGCCTTTCCTTTGATTTTCCATAACCACTCTAATCTTCTGTGATCTTTTCCTTCTCTAAATTTCTGTTGCATTTCTAATTATCACCCATTCTTAATTTTACTTGCGTGGTTTTACATAAGGGAATGGGGGGAACACTGTACTAGGAGTGTTGTATTTTTTGTCTCTTTTAAATTTTATACCCCATGAATTGGTGTAGTTTTCTTTATTTAATAAGAAATCTATCATATAGTCAGTGTTTGAACCTACTTCTACTCCAAAATTTATTAAATATTTGTTTACAAACTTAAATTGTAAAATTATTAAAAAGTTCAGAAATGGAAATAATTCTTTGCCCACTGTTCCATCCCTAAAGATTACCACTGTTTTTAGTTTGGTGCATCCTTCCAGACTTTGTTTTTCATACTTGTGCATGTAAATATATAGATCAAGGCACACATATTCAGAAAGGGGATATTATACATAGCGTACTCTGTCTTGCTTTTGTCCCTTAAAAATTATCTTGAGGGGCACCTGGGTGGCTCAGGTGTTGGGCATCTGCCTTCGGCTCAGGTCATGATCCCAGTGTCCTGGGATTGAGCCCCACGTTGGGCTCCCTGCTCGGCGGGAAACCTGCTTCTCCCTCTCCCACTCCCCCTGCTTGTGTTCCCTCTCTTGCTGAGTCTCTGTAAAATGGATTAATAAAGTCTTTGAAAAAAAGAAAAAAAATTATCTTGATTATCCCAACCTATAAATAGAACAAACTGATGGTTGTGAGGGCAGAGAGAGTAGGGAGGGCAAATGGGTGAAGAGCAATGAGAGATACAGGCTTCTGTTTGTGGAATGAATAAGTCATTGGAATAAAAGGCACAGCATAAGGAATATAGTCCGTGATATTGCAATAGCAGTGAATGGAGACAAATGGTAGCTACACTTGTGAACATAGTATAATGTACAAAATTGCCAAATCACTATGTTGTACATTTGAAACTAATGTAGCACTGTGTGTCAACTATACTCAAAACAATTTTAAAGTAAGGAAAGTGTTATTTATAATACAGGAAAAAAATGCAGTTTTAATTTAAAAAAATTACCTTGATTATTGTCACATGTCCATCTATGTAGATCATATGTAGTTTTAATAGCTGCATTATATCCCATTCTAGCAAGGCTTGTGCTTTTTTGTTTGTTTTCACTTTTATCTTCATATTCCATTTCCATTTCATTCCCATCTCTAGGCTGCTATTTTAATATCTTTAGTGAATACTTGTGTATTTTTGCAAATGGCTATCATTGTCTTGTATTTTTAAATGCATATTTGTTGTGTTTTATCTCATTCAGTTCTACTTTTCCCCTTAGTACTGTTTCTTATACATTTGTTCTGCTTTCTGTGCCTTTGTTGCTGCTGCTATATAATGCTCCATTGATATTCATTCAAGTCTACACTTACTTTTACTGCATCATGCACCCTTAATGTATGCTGAATAATTTCACATTAGAATTGTTTCCCCAACAAGGTTGTAATTTACTATAGAACAGAGATTACAGTTTTCACTAATGTCCGCTCAGCTGTGTCCATAAATTGGCACAACTAATAAATTGATAATACTGTGTAGATGGGGACTTTTAGCTTCTTGGCAGTAACTTGATAATATGGTAAGGTTCTGAAATCTTGGGTTATATTTTAGTTAAGTACCCTATTAGTTAAATAGGATAATGTCATACTTCTCACTTTACTTATCCTGTTTCCACAAGTAAGCCTACTAGACGAAGCACAGAACTTCAAAACTTGAGTTTGAGTCATTGTTCTGCTTATCAGCTTGGTAATTGTTATGTTAACAAATGACTTAACTATTTTGAGACTATTTCCTCATTCATTAATAGGGATGTTCATACCTCGTAGCCAACTTCACTGTTGTGGTGAAGTCAAATAGTAATATATGTTAGTGTACAGAGTGCTATTTTTTATTAGAATTTTATCTAATACCTTCCATTGCTTGTGCTTATGTTTATTCTTTGTGTTTATTGGACTTTAAAATGCTTACTATTAGATTTCATAACATTCTCCTATAAAGTACATTGATAGTCTGTGGATTTGGTTCTGCAGTTGGATAAATGTTCTTGGTACATAATGATGTATATGTGTGTATACATATTATGTATCTTGTTATCCTAGAAATTATTATGGAGATCTACTCTATGTATTTTTGTCCATCTCAGATTATTCCATAATAAACAATGAGAATTTGGCAAGTCTTTTTTTTAACTTATTAGCATTTTTCTACCCTTCAGAATGATGCTTTGTTAACACAAATGACATTATTTATTTTAGCCTATTTGAAATGGGAATTATTTAAAGAGAAACATCTTCCTACTACTACTACATCCTACTACTTTCTGGACTTTGGAGCAGAAAAACATAAAGGCCCGAGGCTATTTTTTGTTTTAGACTGCAGGGTAGCATGAGTCTGAGATGAGTTTTGTCCATTTCTAGAATAGAAGTGGGAAGAGTGAGACCTCTGAAACAAGATGATTCTCCAGATACTCAAGCCATTCTCTTCAGTGATACTTCCTTGTTGGCATCTTTATTGGACAAAAATCTAGTCGAGTTAGGAAACAACCTAAGTCTATGATTTTTAATCAGTAGTAAGCAGTGGAATGAACTAAATAATCCTTGGATGGCCTTTGCCCACATCAATATTTAAAAGATTTCCCACTATTTTTGCCTTATTTCTAAGTTTTGGATAAATTTTCTGATAGTCTACTCTCTTTTGATCATAAATAATTTCCAAATGTATACTTTTTTTTAAAGGAAAGAGTCATCTCACATGGGTTTGCCCTAATATTTAGGTTCAGTGATAGTGTTAATTAAGCATATAAGTACCTTGAGTTTTCTCTGAAAATCTAGAGCCCTACAGTATCCAGCATCTTCTAAGGCTGCAAAATTGATTTCAGTCCAGAAGTTTTCATAAGGATCTTGGATTAGATTAAAAAAATAAAAAACTTATTTTCTATTCTAAGGCCAGTACATTCTCCAGCAGATTTCACCTGTGGTATCTATAAATTTGGGTGATTCTCTTTATTTCTGAAGGTTTCCAGATCTGCCATGGTTTTTGGCTAGTAGGAAATGACCTTGCCACCTGTGATGCTGAGACCTTGTAAGTTAGGTACTAGGGCAGTTTCCTGGCAGTGTGATATAGGAATTGGTTCCATATATATTTCTAGTGTGGGCTTGTCATAACTGAATGAAAATCATTTTTAATTAAGACATTCCAGGTATGGCCTTGGTTGCACAATTGATTAGTTATATAGGTAAAAAGAGTATAAATATTTTTTTTTTTACTTTTTTT